TGGACTGTTATCTCCTATCCGACGGAATGGGCTACAGTTTGGTGGATTTGTTTATTGATGTACTACGGACACAACTGACCAATCGGGATGACACACAGTTCTATTACAGAGACTATCCTGAACGACAAGAATACGTGGCTCAGTTTGTTTTACGACATGAATCCAGCTTCAAGTTGCTTGCAGCAAGAGCATCGATAGGACTACAGGTGGATCCTAAGGACTATGCCGCAAAAAGGATGGGGCAAAAAGGTCTTGCCGCGAGACTGGCACATTACAAGACACAGAATCAATTGGTGTCTAATACTATGAAGGACGACATTCCACCGTTCTTCCGAGCTCTGTGTCGCTAAATTGGGACAACCGATGGAACATATCAGCATAGCGCACAGCTCGAAAGGCGCTGAAAAAGTGTAAGACACGAATGGAAAAGGGCAACTTGATACAGCGCCATGCCTCCCAAGTAGAAGAAAGGATTAATAAGATCAAAGATTCTCTGGGAAGCGACTACGTCGAACCGGTGGACGGAATCGAAACCTACATTGATGAATTCTTGGTGAAGAAAAGTAACCGTCGCCCAGACCGTGCGCCTAACCAGATGGGACGACGCGGCATACGAAACCAACAGCTGCGGGATAATCTCGCCGACGTGCAGCGTCGATTGGCGGAAGACCCTGATAACCGAAGACTGCGACTCGAAGAAAATGACGCACGCCATCGACTTGAGGCGGTTAAACGAAGTCGCCAAGGTAAAGGTCGTGGCCAGCGCGAAGTTGACCCGACAAAGGTCATGGAAGTTGACTCGACGGAACCAGTTGACCGAACTTCCGATCGAAACCAACCGGAAAGCGTTAAGAAACGCCCGCCGAGAGATGGCGAGGGCGATTCCAATGAAATGGAATAGTGCTGATCGTTAGGATCACACTATTAAAAGGACGTCTACGGCATTTGTCGGTACGTCACAAAGATGAAAATGGTGTTGTATAAAGGGCGTGACACGTGACATGTTAACATTAACTGTATTTGTGTATTTGTTGTTTGCAGCGTTTATAGCACAGAATTGCCTAAAAGAAATCATGTGGAATATCTATTGGGGTTGAAATTGATTCGGTCTATAAAGCCGGCCCCAAGGGAGTTGCTACGGCAGTTAGCCGGCCCTCCTCTCTAAGCGACTCAGTGTTATAAATGCACAAGAGAAACTACGGTAATCAAGCCGGATCTCTTGAATACGAAACGGGGCCACAAGCGGCGAAAAAGAGAAAGACAACAGGTGGAATATTGATGAGGTTAACTTAATGCGGCAGCTAGCCGGCCTCATTAGAGTTGTTACGGTAAACTATGCCGGCACTCTTTTTAAGCAATTCAGTGCTAAAATTAAAACGAGAAAAACTACGGTAACCAAGCCGGATTTCTCGTAATAACGTAAGCCACAAGCGGCGAACAAGAGTAAAAGATTTAAGGTGGAAATTTCATGGGGTAAACTTAATGCGGTAACTAGCCGGCCCCATCAGAGATGCTACGGTAAACTTGCCGGCACTCTGGCCGCTCGAGGCATACTGAAGTTGAATGTGCGACGTAAAGGTCAAACTGCAAGTTTTACCAGGGAGGCAAGCAAAGAAGTGCTTGAAAGCCGCAGAAAATTGGCTAAGTTCCTCCATGACCTTTAATGGAAGTTTGACGAAAAGTCGGATGACCTTTGGGATCATCAATTGCCCAACAAGAGTCACCGTATTGGAATTCAAGTCGCATGACCTTTGGGACCATTTACCCAAAATGAGTCGCACATCTCAACGGATCATCTCAACAAAGGATGACCTTTACTAGGGAGGAAGCGAACTACGCTTGTCTTCATTGACGTCCCTCCATGACCTTTATTGGATCTCATTTTGAAGTCGTACGAATGATACGCACCATATTCCAAAGATTGAAGCAGTATTCCTAAGTCGTACTTGATACGCACCTGATTCTCAAGCGGATTGTGATGAAAAGTCGCATTATGGATGCGCAGGATTGCTCAACAGAGCGGAATGGGCCAATGTGCGGCAAACGGTGGACAGGACCTGTGACCTTTGCGAGTCAGAAATGGAGGATCCTAGTCTACAATTTGATTAATACTTTGTTGATCTGTTACTGTTGATCTGTTCTAATGATTTGATAGTATTTTATAATTGGATCTCTTTATTTCACATTGTATTAAACGGAATTGTGCCTTACGGAATTGATGTGATAAAATGGATTAAGAGAATTTGATGTTCTTGAGCACGCACAGACACCGGCGACCGTCGTTTCGTGGATTCGAGTGTGTCCAGCCTCACAGGAGCTCGGCATCCCCAGAGGCATGTGAGCGGGGTTCACTAGCGTTCACGTCCGCAACGCTACGCCACTGGATTACGTGTCTGTGTTGTGTCTCTTTTGATTGGCTTGAGTTGTGTTAGTGGGCGCGGCATAGCACGTGCTGCACAGTGTTACACACTGTTGAATGGGCTCCACGCTTTACGATCGAGCTGCGCCGATCATTGTTGATTTTCTGTTCTCCAGACTTTTCAATATTGAAAAGTCAGCGATTTACGGTGCGACGTTTGTGTTTCCGCATAGTTCGCGATCCAGGTCGTATCGCTCACTTCTACGGGATAGATTCCGTTTCTGTCTCCGTCTGTGGATCTATTCTGGATCTACCATTAGATTGTCTTACATCCGGTCCAGGACCGAATGACCAACAAAAATAAATGGCCAGGACCAAATGAACAATAAACAGAAAACGCGCAAGAATACAAACACTTGTTCCTGGCGCATTTCCCAACGAAAACCACCAAGCGATATCTCAAAAGAAAGACAAAAAAATTTCAAGAATTTTGATACCAAACAGGTCATCCTTTATGGGATCTAAGAGAAAATCGAGCCATTTTAGTTTGTCGTAGACAAAGCACACGATTTCTGTGTGAAAGTTGTGTGGGCAGACCATCGATTTCTGTGTGGACAGCACGCACGGTTTCTGTGTGGGCAAACCATCGATCTCACAACGGTGACCTAGTAGTAAACTGAAAGGCAGCCGATATAGGATGCTTGTATAAGTCGGTATGTTGAAGAGCTCTAACGCCCTATTGCGGGCGCCTATTTTGCACCCGAAATCGCGGCTCCCATACCAGCCACCCAAATGTTTCAACACTCCCACCATGATATCTCTTTCTGAAGTTTTAGCTGAGCAACGCTTTAGTCACGCTTGCAGTGGTTGTCAAAAGGTCATCATGGACTGGACGAAAAATCAGCTCTTTCATGCAGTTTTCCCTGGTCGCAATGTGGTCTCAGCGCTACTCTTACCGTGAAAGACATGTCATCCGTTTCCCTTTCCCGTGGAACAATGTACCACAAGTGTCCGTTGGCGATCTTGACGCAAGCCGCTATCCTCTGCTTTTTCAGTAGCACCCATGTATCGCTTTTCACGCGTTTAAGCAATTCTTCGGCGGAAAGACGGTCGTGATTATCGGGCAACGGCACGCTCCACATTTGATAATCCCGTTCGCGCACAATCAGAGGCTCGTTCTCGCGACCCCCGGATTCCATGGAATCGGACAAATACGCCGCTGGAATCGGACAAATACGCCGCTGGAATCGGCCGACCGATTTTCGTCCACCATTGCATCCCCGTTCGGGGACGAGTCCGATTCCGTGGGAAAATATCGACGCACCAGCGTCCCTTATTCCACCATTTAACGAAGGCCACGTCATCCTGGGAGTGTGGAACACCGTCCGACAAGTCAAGAACTTCGGCCGGTAACCACATCCATGGGCCGGACGCAGTCTCCCGTATCAGCAGTTCCACAGGTTTGGTCAGACCCGGAGGTTTGGACAAACCGCGAGGTCCGTGGCGGTGAGCCATAAGGGAATGGATAAGCGCAGCAGCAGGTGATGCATCACGTACGAAAACCTGATTGAACGGCGTGAACTCGCGTCGTCGTTGGGGACAGAGGAAGTCGATGAAGAGTCCGGTCTTGGCCACGTCCACCACGCGCCCGTAGCGCAGCAGGCTGTCGTCTCCCAGAACATCCACACTGTTGCTGAGGTGAACTGCGTCGACCATGGCTGACACTGGAGTGCTCCGTTTGCGGTTGATGGTTCTAGGCAGCTACTGCAATTTCAAAGTGTAAAAATTAATTTTAACTTCCCTTTTACTACCACTGCTATCTATCTCATTTAGCGGAAATGACTTTTACTTGAGTTCCAGATTGTCCGTTGTCAGACAACGTAAGCGGTTCCGTAACACTTAACGGTAAGTAAAGCAACAAATTCAAAATACAAGACTAGATTTTCGCCTTCAACCGTTGAGTATGTCACCGAATGACAAAAATGATTTAGCAGTAATTACGCGAGTGTGGATTCAGCTCATTGGGCTGCGCGTTGGCGGGCAAAGCGGAAGACGAATGGAGAGCGAATATGACTGGCCGTTACTAGTACAGCACATTAAACCGGATTTGTGGCTAATGTTTTATCCGCAAATTAAGTACAAATTCGTATGGATGGCCAAACGTGCCACAGTTTTTGGTGATTTTAAAGGTTGATTTTCGTTTGCTTGAATTGAAATCGAAGGTTGCAGGTCAACGATTTATTGAAGTTTGATTCACAATCAATTATCAAAAACCAACTGATTTAAGTTCAGTATGATTTATGTTCAGTCAATTCAATGATGTTCGCTTCATGATTCATGGGTTTCAGGGCGAACTGAATCGGAAATCACTGATTTTGGATCAGTGATCTCGAAACAATGATTGTCAATCGTCGATGAAATCAGAGATTTAAACCCAGTGATTGCGCCACTGACTTGCAATCAGTGATTTTTAATATATAGCTGCCGCCTCGTGCATGTTGAAGCGCGATTTCGAACTTACCATGCTTACATTCAGCACGACTCACCATAATGCTGCGTGATCGGCTGAACGGACCTATACACCCGGAGTTTCAGCGTATTGCGGAATTGATTGTAGAAAGTGGCATTAATAGAGAAAGCGCTTGCAAGTGTGGTTCCAGGACAAGCGCACGACGACGAAAAGAGCGCGGAGAAAAGCGGAAACGGGAGTGTGTGGGTCCGTTCTTGTGCTGTCTGTACAGGAAGCACTGAATTTGCAGCCTTCTGGTGCTTTGCCGTCGGCGGTTCCTACTGCTTGATGCTTACGGCGGATCCCGAGGTCGTTAGCGTTGCAGACATGAAGGAATTTGTCTTGGAAGAACTGAAGATGAAGGATGAGCCAGTCGAGGTTTGTACAGGGATAAACCGTAATACTGGTTTTCTATATTTTCGTAATTTCCAGTTTTTCTAAAAATTAAAGACAGTTTTGCTTCGGTTAAAGACCATTTGCACATAACCACGTGTTCTACGTAAGCAATACCATGTTTCTGCAGTTTTGGTGGAATCGGATCATTTTTACTTTAATGGTGTCTGTCGTTCGTAGATGGATATTATGTTGGGGAAAAACGCCGCTGCGGACTCGGATTTAATCTCGCAGATGATCACGGAAGGGGAATCACGAAACGTCTTGTTCAGTCCGCCCGTGAACAGAGTTTTTCTTTTCGAAGATCTGATTAAAATACAATTTTGTAGCTGTCACTAGAAATCTTTCAGCGATATGGACTTTTTAGAAAACCAATTTTTTCTTCATGTTTTTCGTGTTTTTGTTTCCGATTGTTTGCAGGTTGTGCACGATGCACAATCTGGATTACTTGCTGATTGCCGGTGATAGCGTCTGTGCGAGACCTCATCGATCAACCGACATTTCTCGACGGCTTACTGAGCTAGGTCCACGTGGGAATATTGTCTCAGATATCCCATAAAGTGGCATAAAATAACGCTAATACGGCGCTGTCGGTAGTATTATAGCTGAAAGTGTTTTCGGACCTGGGCACGGTGACGCAAATGGACGTGCCCATGGAATGCACGGCGTGGAACACGACAGGGAAGCGCCAGTGCTGCGCAGCTGTATTCTGATTGGGGATTGTTCAATTTTCAAGGACCGATTCGCGGATTTCTTCTGGTTGGCGAGGGTGTACAAACGCTTGGACCGTGGCACACGACCATTGTAATTGACGGTAGAAACTGGCGGGTGCGCGTGTTTGACCTGATTCACTATGTGGCGCAGCAGCGTCCCGGAATCCGTCTGTGCAGTCTATTGCTCAGCCGTTGCGAACCGAACCTGCATATCAGCTGGGGTGTTGAACCTACGTAAACGGAAGTGTGCCAGCCGGATCCTTCCAAAACTATATCGGACGAAATTCGTAGCTATTATCCGTTAGACGAGTTTTTTGCGGTGTGCGGCAGTCTTCCTTGCGAAACCGTCCACTTGGCCAATTGCATCGTGCGTGTGGTGTATGCTGCTCTTCTTTACCCGGGATTCACGCGATCGTGTGGATATCCTATTGCGGTGAAAATTCCCGCAGCGCGATTCTCGCAAGGCCGGGATATCCGCTACCCTTTTCGGGATACACTGGAAGTCACGCTGCCTGCACGGACGGAGGAAGAACTGCGCAGACTTCGGGAAGGACTGAAATGGATGCAAAATGTTCGAGTAAATCATCTTAAAGTTAGGATTTTTGCTTACAAACAAATCTCCCACTTGTGAAAGATATCTGTCAGTCGTGATTGTGTTTGCAGACTCTGTGCGCGACGCAGACGGCCAATTCGCGGGCGTCGGCGCATTTTCGCGGGAAGCAGTGGTGCGTGGACGCATGGAAGGCTTGCAACTGGTGCAGGCAGACGCATCACCCGGCACTTTCTCGTGGAGCTGGAAAAGGATACGGCTCAATAATCCCAATCTGGCGGTTGGTTGCTCTTGGGTTTTTGCTATCGTTAACACTGCGCGCATTTTTGGCATATCTTTAGATTGTATGTACAGATTTTAATTGATTCGCTACATAATTTTCTGCTTTAGTTTAGTAAGTCAGCGCCTCTTATACCGGTTGATAAGATCCCCAGGACAGTTTTTCCTGGGAATTTATGTGACGTCAGTATGCACTAAAAACACTTTTTTGGCTTAGCAATATGCTGCATTTTGTTGCAAGCAACCTTTTTGCTTCCTGTATATAAAAAATATGGTAAAAATACGTACCCGTTCTGATGCAGTGGTGAATCAAGACCAAATCGTTGTTGAACAACACCGTTTTTGCGATGATGACAGACTGCACTGATAAGTGCGCTCCGCTGAGTTTTCAGAGATACAACAGCATGGTAGTGGCCCTTACTTGTTGGAAGTTTTGGCCGGCCCTACAACCAATACAGTGGAGGTTGAAGCTTTGAGATAATAAATTATAGCACTCAAACACCCAGCGGTACAAGCGTCGGTATTCCAAAGCCGGCTTAAGCGCCCACTCATTTCTGTCCTTCGTAGTTGTTACTGACTTACGGCTACAACGCAAGCAGTAAGCGTGGTGCGCAGGACCCAAACTTAGCCGTTTGCTGGCTTGTTAATCTCTTTGTGCTCAGTGAAACCATTTCTTAATTTGGTGATCGTAAACTGTTACCAGTTTACGACCAGTAATCGTAGTGTCTTCTAGTCTCTTCCGCATGCTGTGGTTGAGTTGATCTGTGGCCGAGATTTTTGCTTGAGTCTTAGAAGATGTCCTCATGGCCCGAGAGCAGAAAATTTTTTTTCCTAAATTAACACGCAGGAATATGTAAAAGGGCTGCTAAGCCGACAGATCATCTGCAGATGGAGAAATAAAATTTAGCTGACTTGGAAGCTTTACCATGTACCGAGCAACTAGTTGTACGTCTACAGCTCTCGAAGTGGTACTGTGCTTACAAAAGAAAAACAACCCCATTACCGCAAAAAAATGAAGGCGCGATGGTTGGCAAACCATATGGAGCTGCAAACCACAAAACATGGGGAGGCGCAGTGGAAACCCTTCCTTGAAAACCCTAATATAGCAACGTTGCAGGATTCAGGAAGGACAGCAAATGCTGGTGATGTAAATTTCCCACACACGCTTCATTCTGAATCGAACAGACGATATCTGGCCTCGCCGGTCTTCCGAATAAACTCCGCCTTTTCAAGGGAGTCTAAGGCTTTCCTGCAGCGAAATAATTTTTATACCTCACTGGCAAATCGCTTGAATAATTAAGCAGTTTCAGTAATATATCTGAAAACTTAACAAAAAAAAACTATTAGTGAAACAAATTCCGATCCTGTCGAATAAATATTACTCCATTCAAGTCCGGACAAAATGGTTTGAAACCATTACATATGGACGATGCGCCGTGCCTTGAGCGCTTACTCTATGCCTTCCGGAGAAGACTGGTTCAGTTCATGGAAGATGTCGGACTTGGACACCTCTTCTCCGGCTTTGATGATGTGATCATAAATCTGTAAGCAACACTGATAGCAAGTGTCATATGAAAAATGTGATGTGATCATTTTGTGATCACACGCCGCACGATCTAAGCGGACTTAGCATATAGGTCTATGACCGGCGCTTATGCGACCCGGGATACCCGCTAGGTATTCACGTCTACTTCCATCTCTCTTTAGCTATATAAGCTGTGCACTGTTGTACCATCTACAGACAGTCATCTACATGTCATCTACATAGAGATCTCTAGTCATCTGTATGCATGCTAGCATTGTACCATCTGCGTACAGTCATCATGTACCATCAATAAAGATACAGTACGGTCAGTCTCTCGTGTCTTCTTTATATTATTAAAACCCACTATTACACAAGTTAGTGTTACTGAAATATACAATGAGAACAACGCTCAACTGACCATGGTGGTCACGGTCGACATTCCTTTGCTTTTGTCATGCAGAACCGACGGATCGACCTCATTTGCTGCTTCCTCCAGTACAGGCTTTATAGCTACCAAATTAACTGCAGTACAAATAATTTAAAGGTGGCGGTTGTGACAGGTCGGCGTTGCGATTACAGACGCAAGATTGTGTGCATTAAACAACTAGGTAGAAAAGTTTAAGCAAAACAGTAGGCTTGAAACTGGATGACAATAACTCTCAATGCAGATTAAATCATACTACCGCTCTGGTACATGGTAGTTCTCATACCTTCCGCTGCGACCGCAAGCTGGGGTGCAGGATCCGACGAAATTAAACCGCTAGATGCGATGCACGGTACAGACCCGACGGGTTTGGGCTCAGGAATTGTTGAACTCACGGACTGGCAGTCTTTCCAGCGTACTCCCTTGGTAGCCTGACGGGAAAAGCGACGAGCACGCAGTTTAAGACGTTTCGGTAGTGCGGGGTCTGCCTTCACGTGTCCCATTTCGAAAGAATCTTCTTTCGATGCTGGCAGAACATGTCCGGAGCAAACCTCAATGGTCCAGAATACCGCGAAAGCCAGGGGCAACGCACCAAAAAGAGTCAGACATAGTAGCGCTGCGGCACAGGTATTCGGATTATCATTCTGAAAAAACCATAGAACCAAGAAAACTCCTCCGGTAACCCCGGCAGCGCCAACAATCGACATGGCTACTATCCCTTCGATAAAACCTCGCTTTGTCATTTTAAAACAAGGTTCCCCTGTGACTGGCTCTTCAGGCCGCGAGATTTTCCAGTCAATAAGCTTCGTTCTGAAGGGAGAATTAAAATAATGTTTCCGAATGGGTTCGACTAGGTGTGTAATTTGTTCTCCGAAAAAAAAGCAAACGTTTTCCGATGTCGAATCATAATGCTCTGGGCCACCGTGTTATGCGGGTCGATCAGGTACCTGATGTCCCGATGATATCCCGGGACAACTCTCCGTCCGGCAAGATGATTTGTTGCTGAAAAATTAGGACTGACTCAATCGGTACCAAGATCTTGTTGCGCGACAGCAGTGATGTGAAATCGCTACGGGACGCGACACACTACATAGAGCGCGACGAGGCACAACAATATCATAAATAAACTACAATCATACAGGACAGTACCGGAAAGTAAGAAAACTCGCAAGAATGATTAAGGGAATCAAACCCCCTTACTGTTCGACGTATGTTAGCGACTTACCAGTTATTTGGTTGGTTTAGTGGTTTTCCGACAAGTCTGTTGTTGGGTATCGTTTTACCGAATGGCGGCACTGCAGCGGGCACGCCCTGGTGTTTAATCAGTATGTCAGTACAAAGCAGAACTTTCTTAAAGGTCACCAACGCGTTCGTTAAAAAATTCGCCTGTGAGGTTTAATCTGCCGAAGAAGTACAGTTACAAGTACGCCAAATGCTTATCGTAAATACAGCGTTAGACCATTATTACTAGGAAAGTGCACTCGCTTTTTGCGGACACTGCACGACCGAAGCGTAGCGGGACAGCATATGTATATAACTGTATAAATATTGCAGGAAAAGCTTGTATAAATATAGGTCGACAGATCCATTATCACCTAATTGAAAGTAAACGCAACTTTGGTTCTTCTGAATCAGTTATTTGCAGAAAACTCAGCACTGCAGCGCGCAAGGCCTTTGTCGGAGTAGAAACCAATTTGTAAATACGAAAGTGTTGGATGCCGCATGGCATGATAAATTAAGGTACCCTTACAGGCACCCCTCCCGGCACTCTGTTTATTACAGGCACCCTTTATTTAAGTTGTGATGATTGCAAAGGTTTAGGTAAATTGTTACTCGGAGAATAATTTAGGAGTGCATGTCGCATCCTACGTGGCGCATTTCCAAGTACCTATGCTAATGTCGCCTGGACCAGCAGACCCGGTAAACTTCTTTGGCGCTGTGCTTTTACCCTTGAAAATGTACACCCGCAAGAGAAAGACACTTCCAGCCTGTTTTCACCTGGGCTAGGGTTATCACCAGAGCTTTTAGTTGTACTTGTTCCGTTAATGTCAATAGTATTAGTGCCGGCCAGTGATACCAACCGGAAACAGATTTTACTTGTGTCTTCAATGACTGTAGTCAGTGTTTATATACACTGTAATGGAATTGCATTTCGGTAATTTTTAGCAACGTTTGGGACGTTGTTATAAAGTTGTTTTTGGCACACTGGCGTTAGGACGAGAACACCCTATGGTCTGCTTCAATAAGCTGACTGGTGAAAAGGTCAAGGAAGAATACACTTCTGGCTTTAGCTTCACTTTTATTCCCCCAATCCCTTTACTTTTCCCAACTTTCTGACTTTATTCAAAAAAAAATTTCTGCTTTCAGAAATGTGGTAACGTTTGTGGTACCTAACGGCTAACGTTGGCTTTGTAATATTTTTTATGATCATAACTCTATAAGAACAGTTCATGTGAAATTTAGTAAAGCAGGACGCAGAGGGCTGCAGACCAGCAAAAATTGAAACAGGATTTATCTATGTATCTGACTGATAGCCATGCGGAGGTTGAAGTGCGCATGGTGTAACTGCCATAATCGCGAGCAGCGTTGTAAAAGATCGGTATCTCTGATGCGTCGATGGTTGACATTTTTTATGTGCGCGCGTTCACGTCACCGAACGTTCTTCCATACTTACTTTGAATTACAAATACAGCCCTGGGCAGCCAAGTTGGTGCTGTTTTGTAAAATAAATTACAAATATTCCCATATACGATTTCGCTTTTATTTTTACACTTTTTTAGTGAAACTTTTTATCGCGCATCCAGCAGTGTTAAAACTGAAATCTTTCGGCGTGCCTGTAAGGAGCCAAGGGGCAATTAAGGAGTTGGGGTAGTGGCCATTTTTAGGGGGCTTATAAATGCACCTCCCATAAAACCACCAGCCGCTATTTTTCTCTGGACCTTTTTGGGAACTGTTGAGTGGTCCAGAAGGTCTCTGTTACGGGTAAACAGAGCATCCTTGCGCGATCAGTGGGAGAGGGGCATTCGAAACTAATCTTTCTCCCATAGGCTTGTATGTTAAATAGCCGGGATAGAAGAACAGGGTTGCTTAGCGTACTGGACGCTTTAGGCACGACGTGAGTGATAAAACGGAAGCAAGAAAGAGACCATTAGTAAATCGCCATACTACTTTTGCCGGTCTCAAGCTTAAACTATTTTAAAAGCATTATCGAATGGACGTGATTATTTCTTAATAAGCAAC